GGACACACTCCAACGGTCCCAGATCGGCTTAGGTCTCCACGTCATCTAGGTCCAGCCGGATCGCCAACGATCGCCGCGGGATCGCCAGATCGACGACCGACTAGACCCTCGTTTCCAGCCCGGGACCTGCCGTCTGGATCGCCGGATCGCGGGAGGTATGCTTCAATCGCCCCAGATCGACATGAGTCTCTAAGTGATTCCAGTTCGGTCGGATCGCTCTCGATCGTCACGGGATCGCCAGATCGCCCGTCTGAGCCGCTCTCGCTTCCCGAACCTCCGGCGACCCTTGGTGCGTTTAGATCCGACACCCTGGCCACTAGTGAGTCTCGTGTAGGGTCTGCTTCAACTGCAGACGTCACCGGTTACGTTCCAAAATTTCTACCGACGACGTTCGTCTTACGTTGGCTATGATCTCTTCTTTATGGGATCGATAGGCTACCTTCTGCAGCCAAGCCGGTGCCATTCATGCGCTTCAGCAGTCATACCGAGATGCGGTCGCCCGGGGGGATCGCTTGCAAGACGAGATTGATTCTCTGTATAAATCATCCGCCCCCTTCGTCTCTTTCGTCCAGCGTCGATATGATTGGATGCAAGGCCGCTACGTCGACGCAGTACACTCCTTGAGCGACTGTAAACGAGCTCTGCGGACACATCGAGATCAATTGACGCAGATTCTTCGGCTATGCGCTTTGTTACGTGCCAGCGATGAGGATCAAGGCAGCTTGGAACGGCAGGTGAAAACTTTGAGGGCTCAAATCCATTTTCTCCAGGCCGAACTCAATTCTCTCCAACAGCAGCGTGACCAGCTGACCTCCGACAGGTCCTTCCTTCACATAGACGTTTTAAATTTGAGGGAGGAAGTGGATCGGTCTCGGGAGAAGATCGCAGATGGCCTGCCCTCGATTAGCGACCTTGTACAACAGTTGTATTGTTTGACTCCTCTGGAGGTTCAGTTGGCACTCACGCAGATAGAGAACGCCAACCTCCGTCGCCAGCTTGCGGAACACCTCACGGTACACCACCAGTTACAGGTGGCGGAGCAAGATCGGGATCGGGCCATAGCAGAACACCGTGCTCTCCTCGATACACTGAACAGTGCTATACCCGGGTCCCAATCGTCTGCGTTGACCGCTCGATCGACGCCTAGAATTGCTACTCCGGCCGGATCGCCACCTGTTTCCGCACCCCAGGGATTGAGATCGCTTGCCCGTAGGTCCATGTCGAGATCGTCTGGCCCGCTGGCCAAGCGTCGGCGTGTTCAACCAAGGTCATGATCCAGGGATTCTTCCATCACCCTTTCGGCCTCTCGGCTATTGTCGTTGAACCCCTCAACACCTTCCAAGAAAATTCCCAGATCGGCCCCATCCGAGCCTTCATCCAATCCTTCTTCTTCTCCGTCTTCGCCCGCGGCTTCTGGGACTGGATCGGGAAGTGGGGAGCTGACCGAGTCGGACTCTAGCTCGGATGATCTGACTCGTTCCGTGTTGTCCCACTCGAGATCGACCGCTCGTCGTCAACCTTGATCAGATGTCCGATCTTCGACTCCAGACCCCTCTCCGTCTGCCCAGGCTGCTCCCACTTCATCCGTAGCTACCGCGTTTGATCAAATACTGTCGCGTTCGCCATCTCCAGACGTTCCGGAGCCTTGTTATATTCCGTACTCATCCACTCCGGTCGCGGTTGTCCCCGTAATTTTAATTCGAGATGATGGCGACTCAGAAGATGTGGAGGTGTCGCCGACAGGGGAAACACACAGCAAGACTGGCTCTGTTAGTCCGCCCCTGGGTCCACTGCGCTCTCGGATCGCCATTCGTCCAATAGCGACAATAGCATCACCATTCCGACGCGCCAAGTGGCAAACAGAGTACTCTCATCAGTTGATTTCGGCCATCTTTCACCACTCCAGCAAGCGCGGGATCGGTGGATTCCCAATATTTGGCACCCTCCCGACGGGTAGCTTCCAAGATCGCTCCTTGGTCAGTTTCGCGGATCGCGATGGTCTGCGTGAGGAACATGACCATTGAGCTGTTTCACCACTAATCCAAGCCCAAGAATTTTCTGTTCTCCTTTCACCCTCATGGGCGAGCTCCGCCTACGGGGAATTGGGCACCTGGGCTGATCTCGCGGCGACACATCGAGGCTCTCTACGCTACGGCCCCTTTAGATAATATCGTGATCCCTGTGAACCCGATATCGTTCACCATGACTGGATGGTATCGTGATATGAGTCATCGCTACCTGGAGCTTGAGTCCACTCATCGACAAGCTCTGTGGGAATCCACTCATGCTTTTCCGATCTCCCCGGCCCAACGACGATCTGAACGGTTCATGCAAGCATTCTGGCGCCAACGAAAGCAACGCCAATATCGCTTGGAGCGTGTTGGAAGAGATTCTTGAAGATGATACTCAGCGGCATGATTGCTGGCCACTGAGATCTTGACATCTTGCTGGATCCCTTCTTCCTCCACTATCCGCGCCCACATGAAGAGCGAGTTTGGTATATAGGGTAAGTACATTCCAACGACCCAGCCGACTTGCTAGAGGCATTGACCATGGCGGACCAAGAGGATCCTTGGCGCAATCAGTTCCGTAACGCCTATTGGGATCACCCCGGATTGCAGATCCCTCGTCTACAGGACAAGTTCAAGCCTGCTCTATCATCTTAGTCCAAGATCGGTGTCCAAGCCCGATCGTCTTTCATAATCGTGTAAGTCATGCAATCATCTTTTTTTTGGTACTTCATTCTTTGCAACTTCCACGACCTCGATCCTTCTAGCTTCACATCATTCAGCAAGGTAATTTACTGGACTGTCTCCATACTCACACACGAACCACCATCCGTCAGCATGTGCTACCTCCTAGCACATCTTGCAACCTCATCCACCAACATGTGCTACCTCCTAGCACATCTTTCAACCCTTCCATCCGTATATGCTACCTCCCGCATACTTGTTCGAACTGTTAAGGTTCGTCCGACTCGCCTTCGTGAGACTGCATTGATTCGAAACAATTCCGACTCACTCGGTTCCGCTCAAACTTCTGCAAGATCGCCCCACAACTCAGATCGGCCTCATCTACCCAACTTAGATCGGGATATCCCTTCCACTTCACCAGAAACTGTCGGTGTACTCGCCCATAACGGGTTTTCCTACCAGATCGCACGTCCAATATTTCTTCTACTTCGTATTCTCCCTCTTCAAGATCGCTATCCTAACTGTCTTCTGGTAACAAAGCTTCATCAAAGTCCAAACGATCTGCTTCGTCTATCGTAAGCTGATCCTTCGGGCGTTCAGGGAACGTCTTTACCTTCTTTAGCTTCGATAAATGTACGATCGGAAATAGCCGATATGGGGTTCCAGCAATCTATAATTTCACAGCGTGATCTCCACATATGTCCGCAACTCGGAATGGACCATGCCACATATGCGCTAGCTTCTTCGCATATCCCTCTTTGACTCGATCCAGGTATAGCCAAACGTGTGTACCTACTTCGATCTCGTGTGGTTCCAGATCGTCATTGTGCCAATCCGCTCGCTCCTGGATGCGGCTTGTAAATGATCGTTCACTGCAGATCGGGCTCGCTGGTATTGTATTTGGATTCTGTATCTCCACCTCTTTGGGTCGCAATCTCGTGTTCCCGTATTCCCCACTGATAGCGTAGCTTCCAATGTCGATCGCGGGTCCCACCCATGAATCAGATAAAATGGGGCGTCCCCCCGGATCCGATATTGTGCGGTGTTAATTGCAAATGTGAGCCGCTCAGCATACTCATCCCAGTCTCGTTGATCAACATCAGCCACGTACATCTTGAGCGAATGTGTCAGGGTTTGCACCATTCGTTCGGCTGTTCCATTTGCTTGTGGCCTGTAAGCCATAGTAGCACGCTGTTTTTGTCCTACGATCCGACTGAAGGCTCGAACAAATCGGACATAAATCCCGGATCTCGATCGTGCCTGATAGCCTCGCTAGCTCCGAAGCGTCGAAACACACATTCTTCATAATTCTCCGCTATTGTTTGTGCCGTCCGTGATGAGCTAGCCTTTGCAATCACATATCCCAAGAAGAGGTCCACCCAAATGAGCAGCTCAGTATTCCTTTTGATGGACTTGGTCAACGACGGTATACGATCCATTGCGATGATATGGAATGGATAGGTTGCTTGCAAGTTGCCCGGGGATCTCCCATGAATCGTCGGACTTCCTTTTCCGGTTTCACAGTCGGTACATTCGCCCACATACCGTTGCACACTCCGATGCAGTCCTCTCCAATGGAATCGCGATCTGATCCTCTGATAGGTTCTGCCGATACCCTGATGGCCTCCTTCCAGACTCGTATGATAGTGATGCAAAAAATCCTGTTGCGACGTCTCAGGGATCACCAAACGCATCAAACCATCGCGATCTTCTGACTCCCTTTTCGCCATGGGGCAGAAGAATAGCAGATCATTCTCATCGATCTCGTATTCCAACACCAATTTTGCGCACATCTTCACTTCTCCCGCGTCCAAGTTTGATACATCGCCACTTAGATACTTCTTGAGATTGACAATCCAAATCTTTTCATCTTGAGCTTGAGCAATTTGTTGAATCCTGATCCTTTATACTATCTCCTCCTGTACCACTACAGGTTCATGACGTATCCTCCCGGCTGATCTCGTGATCGCAGTTATTCGAGCTAGCTGACCATCTTGCTTGGTCTTCAACAATTCATCGAGACGGTTCAGAGTCATCAGATCTTGCCGATATTCTTCAGCTACAACGGTTCTTCCCTTTTCATTCTGCAATGCTGTGCTGGATAGTCGATCTGCGCTCTGGTTCCACTCTCGCTTCATATGCAGAAACTCGTGACTAGGCCAAGATCGCAATTTCTCTAACGCTTTATGCTTCAAGAGTTGCAGGCCCGGGGCTTTGCAATCGATCTCACCGCGCATCTGGCGGATTACCAAATCAGAGTCCCCCCAAAATTATTCTTCCCCTGTCCATATCGGCCAGTAAATCGGATTATAATAGCAAGCCATGATACTCAGCTTCATTTACGGTGATGTCGAGAGCGTATCTGGATTCTGCCGCCACGATCGTCCACTCCGGTAACCTCCATATCACAGCACTGTACGACCCTCCTTTCTTTTTTATCCTCGCCGATCCATTGGAACTGGCCACCAGCAACTCCTCATCTGCTTCCACCGTTGGAGGAGGCGTCGATATTTTGAGTCGACAGTCTTTTCGTGGGGAGATCGCAATCAGCATCTCTTCCACTTCTCCTCTCGGAGTGATACTCGCTGCTAACATGCCCAAAATCTCTTCTTCTCCTTTTTTCGCACCTCTTCACCTCCATAGTCCAGTTTGACAGCAAAGCAGCCCATCGTCCTAATCTCCCGTTGAGCCCTCGAGATTGCATCAACCACGCTAACGTAGAATGTCGGGTCAGCACAGTGATCTCCCGCGAGGCGAGCGTAGCATAGCATACATTCAAAACACGAAGTAACGCCAGCACTTCCTTTTCCACCGTTCCGTAGTTAAGCTCATTGGGCTTTAAAGTGCGGTTAGTAAACGTCACCGGATGGTACACGCCATCGTACTCCTGTATCAGGGCTGCTGAAACAGCCCACTTGCTAGCGTAGACCACGATTACGGGAGGGCGATCTGGGTCGAAATGTTTGAGCATGGGAGCTGTAGCTATCTTAGCTTTTAGCATAGTGAAAGCAACCTTGGCTTCCGTCCATCGACCCTCGTTGGAGCATTCGTCTCCTGCTGCAAGCTGAGATCGGCCGATCTCGAATATACCCGATTCTTTTAACTCATACAACACCGCGGCGTACACCGCGAAGTCCTCAATGAAACGGCGGTAGTATTTCAAGCTCCCGAGAACAGATTGCATAGCTCGCAGCGTGCTAGGAAACGGGATGTTAATTAACGACTCCAAGTTCTTTGGCTGAGCCTCCAGACCATCCATCGACACTCGATGTCCCAAATGATCGACCTTGAGGCACCCCCAAAAGCTCTTCGTGAGACTGATAGACAGATTCCACGTATCACATGCCCCCAGCAACCGTTCTACATTTGTGTACAAGATCCCCATGATGTGGCTGGTATGTAAAATATCGTCAATGTAAGATCGGCGTCCCAGTATAGACGGTCGTCGATCTGTCTAAGGTTCTCCATCTTTGAACAAATCGATCGGGCCATCAGAGGCTGATCTCTGGCCGATCTTGAGATATCCATACAGCGCATTGTAAACCAGACGTTGGTAGATCCGGGGCGCGTTTTTAAGCCCAAAAGACATTCGTAGCCACTCGAACAAGCCAAACGGCGTTACAAACGCTGAGATCAGTTTTGCTCGTTCAGTCATTTCGACGACCCAGAATCCACTAGCCATGTCTAGCGAACAGTACCATAGATCTTTATCCAGATCTTCCAGCAGATCGCTGATCAACGGCATGGGATAAACCATCAGTCGCGTCAGCTGGTTCACTCTTCGATAATCAATGCAAAGGCGAATGTCCACTCCGTTCTTCTTGATGATCACCACTATCGGAGACGCCCAAGTTGACGTGGATGGCTGAACGATCTTGTCTGCCAACAGTCCTTTGATGAGATCTGACAGCTTCTCCCGATATTTGGGTGCGACCGGACGGACTCTTTGCGCAATTGGTGCGGCTCCACCGACATCGATATCACAAATCGCCCCTCGTGCCGCTGGTGGTAGAGCATTTTCCTTTCCCATAAGAAGGTGACGGCTCCTCCAAATCAGCGATCTGAGTCTTTGTTGATCTGCGGTGAGAGGAACGTCCGGATCGCCGATCTGAATGTCGTTAATTGTCACTTCTTCCGTAGCAGTGGACATCTCTTGTAACACCGCCAGGTGTTGCTCGATGTCGTCGGCAAACAAATCTCCACTCTCGTGATAGTAGAATGGTGCTTCTGCGGAGTCAGCTTCGTCGAGACGGCTTGTCCTCTTTAGATCTTTGCGTCGCCTCGGACCGATCTATTCCTGTTCGGTTGTCTGCAAGATTGACGTCCAATGAAGACAGTCTGTTGTCTTGTTCTTCTCGTTCGGTCCCGTGATCTCTTCTCATCGCGATCTCGGTTTCGATCTCACGATCGTTATCCTTCGACGATAGATTTGTTTCAGTGAGTGGATTCGATCCGACTCCGTTGACCGTTCATTTCGACGACCCAGAATCCACTAGCCATGTCTAGCGAACAGTACCATAGAGCTTTATCCAGATCTTCCAGCAGATCGCTGATCAACGGCATGGGATAAACCATCAGTCGCGTCAGCTGGTTCACTCTTCGATAATCAATGCAAAGGCGAATGTCCACTCCGTTCTTCTTGATGATCACCACTATCGGAGACGCCCAAGTTGACGTGGATGGCTGAACGATCTTGTCTGCCAACAGTCCTTTGATGAGATCTGACAGCTTCTCCCGATATTTGGGTGCGACCGGACGGACTCTTTGCGCAATTGGTGCGGCTCCACCGACATCGATATCACAAATCGCCCCCCGTGCCGCTGGTGGTAGAGCATTTTCCTTTCCCATAAGAAGGTGACGGCTCCTCCAAATCAGCGATCTGAGTCTTTGTTGATCTGCGGTGAGAGGAACGTCCGGATCGCCGATCTGAATGTCGTTAATTGTCACTTCTTCCGTAGCAGTGGACATCTCTGGTAACACCGCCAGGTGTTGCTCGATGTCGTCGGCAAACAAATCTCCACTCTCGTGATAGTAGAATGGTGCTTCTGCGGAGTCAGCTTCGTCGATCTTAGACGGCTTGTCCTCTTTAGATCTTTGCGTCGCCTCGGACCGATCCATTCCTGTTCGGTTGTCTGCAAGATTGACGTCCAATGAAGACAGTCTGTTGTCTTGTTCTTCTCGTTCGGTCCCGTGATCTCTTCTCATCGCGATCTCGGTTTCGATCTCACGATCGTTATCCTTCGACGATAGATTTGTTTCATTGAGTGGATTCGATCCGACTCCGTTGACCGTTCATTTCGACGACCCAGAATCCACTAGCCATGTCTAGCGAACAGTACCATAGAGCTTTATCCAGATCTTCCAGCAGATCGCTGATCAACGGCATGGGATAAACCATCAGTCGCGTCAGCTGGTTCACTCTTCGATAATCAATGCAAAGGCGAATGTCCAATCCGTTCTTCTTGATGATCACCACTATCGGAGACGCCCAAGTTGACGTGGATGGCTGAACGATCTTGTCTGCCAACAGTCCTTTTGATGAGATCTGACAGCTTCTCCCGATATTTGGGTGCGACCGGACGGACTCTTTGCGCAATTGGTGCGGCTCCACCGACATCGATATCACAAATCGCCCCTCGTGCCGCTGGTGGTAGAGCATTTTCCTTCCCCATAAGAAGGTGACGGCTCCTCCAAATCAGCGATCTGAGTCTTTGTTGATCTGCGGTGAGAGGAACGTCCGGATCGCCGATCTGAATGTCGTTAATTGTCACTTCTTCCGTAGCAGTGGACATCTCTTGTAACACCGCCAGGTGTTGCTCGATGTCGTCGGCAAACAAATCTCCACTCTCGTGATAGTAGACTGGTGCTTCTGCGGAGTCAGCTTCGTCGAGACGGCTTGTCCTCTTTAGATCTTTGCGTCGCCTCGGACCGATCCATTCCTGTTCGGTTGTCTGCAAGATTGACGTCCAATGAAGACAGTCTGTTGTCTTGTTCTTCTCGTTCGGTCCCGTGATCTCTTCTCATCGCGATCTCGGTTTCGATCTCACGATCGTTATCCTTCGACGATAGATTTGTTTCAGTGAGTGGATTCGATCCGACTCCGTTGACCGTTCATTTCGACGACCCAGAATCCACTAGCCATGTCTAGCGAACAGTACCATAGAGCTTTATCCAGATCTTCCAGCAGATCGCTGATCAACGGCATGGGATAAACCATCAGTCGCGTCAGCTGGTTCACTCTTCGATAATCAATGCAAAGGCGAATGTCCACTCCGTTCTTCTTGATGATCACCACTATCGGAGACGCCCAAGTTGACGTGGATGGCTGAACGATCTTGTCTGCCAACAGTCCTTTTGATGAGATCTGACAGCTTCTCCCGATATTTGGGTGCGACCGGACGGAATCTTTGCGCAATTGGTGCGGCTCCACCGACATCGATATCACAAATCGCCCCTCGTGCCGCTGGTGGTAGAGCATTTTCCTTCCCCATAAGAAGGTGACGGCTCCTCCAAATCAGCGATCTGAGTCTTTGTTGATCTGCGGTGAGAGGAACGTCCGGATCGCCGATCTGAATGTCGTTAATTGTCACTTCTTCCGTAGCAGTGGACATCTCTTGTAACACCGCCAGGTGTTGCTCGATGTCGTCGGCAAACAAATCTCCACTCTCGTGATAGTAGAATGGTGCTTCTGCGGAGTCAGCTTCGTCGAGACGGCTTGTCCTCTTTAGATCTTTGCGTCGCCTCGGACCGATCTATTCCTGTTCGGTTGTCTGCAAGATTGACGTCCAATGAAGACAGTCTGTTGTCTTGTTCTTCTCGTTCGGTCCCGTGATCTCTTCTCATCGCGATCTCGGTTTCGATCTCACGATCGTTATCCTTCGACGATAGATTTGTTTCAGTGAGTGGATTCGATCCGACTCCGTTGACCGTTCATTTCGACGACCCAGAATCCACTAGCCATGTCTAGCGAACAGTACCATAGAGCTTTATCCAGATCTTCCAGCAGATCGCTGATCAACGGCATGGGATAAACCATCAGTCGCGTCAGCTGGTTCACTCTTCGATAATCAATGCAAAGGCGAATGTCCACTCCGTTCTTCTTGATGATCACCACTATCGGAGACGCCCAAGTTGACGTGGATGGCTGAACGATCTTGTCTGCCAACAGTCCTTTTGATGAGATCTGACAGCTTCTCCCGATATTTGGGTGCGACCGGACGGACTCTTTGCGCAATTGGTGCGGCTCCACCGACATCGATATCACAAATCGCCCCTCGTGCCGCTGGTGGTAGAGCATTTTCCTTCCCCATAAGAAGGTGACGGCTCCTCCAAATCAGCGATCTGAGTCTTTGTTGATCTGCGGTGAGAGGAACGTCCGGATCGCCGATCTGAATGTCGTTAATTGTCACTTCTTCCGTAGCAGTGGACATCTCTTGTAACACCGCCAGGTGTTGCTCGATGTCGTCGGCAAACAAATCTCCACTCTCGTGATAGTAGACTGGTGCTTCTGCGGAGTCAGCTTCGTCGAGACGGCTTGTCCTCTTTAGATCTTTGCGTCGCCTCGGACCGATCCATTCCTGTTCGGTTGTCTGCAAGATTGACGTCCAATGAAGACAGTCTGTTGTCTTGTTCTTCTCGTTCGGTCCCGTGATCTCTTCTCATCGCGATCTCGGTTTCGATCTCACGATCGTTATCCTTCGACGATAGATTTGTTTCAGTGAGTGGATTCGATCCGACTCCGTTGACCGTTCATTTCGACGACCCAGAATCCACTAGCCATGTCTAGCGAACAGTACCATAGAGCTTTATCCAGATCTTCCAGCAGATCGCTGATCAACGGCATGGGATAAACCATCAGTCGCGTCAGCTGGTTCACTCTTCGATAATCAATGCAAAGGCGAATGTCCACTCCGTTCTTCTTGATGATCACCACTATCGGAGACGCCCAAGTTGACGTGGATGGCTGAACGATCTTGTCTGCCAACAGTCCTTTGATGAGATCTGACAGCTTCTCCCGATATTTGGGTGCGACCGGACGGACTCTTTGCGCAATTGGTGCGGCTCCACCGACATCGATATCACAAATCGCCCCTCGTGCCGCTGGTGGTAGAGCATTTTCCTTCCCCATAAGAAGGTGACGGCTCCTCCAAATCAGCGATCTGAGTCTTTGTTGATCTGCGGTGAGAGGAACGTCCGGATCGCCGATCTGAATGTCGTTAATTGTCACTTCTTCCGTAGCAGTGGACATCTCTTGTAACACCGCCAGGTGTTGCTCGATGTCGTCGGCAAACAAATCTCCACTCTCGTGATAGTAGAATGGTGCTTCTGCGGAGTCAGCTTCGTCGAGACGGCTTGTCCTCTTTAGATCTTTGCGTCGCCTCGGACCGATCCATTCCTGTTCGGTTGTCTGCAAGATTGACGTCCAATGAAGACAGTCTGTTGTCTTGTTCTTCTCGTTCGGTCCCGTGATCTCTTCTCATCGCGATCTCGGTTTCGATCTCACGATCGTTATCCTTCGACGATAGATTTGTTTCAGTGAGTAAATTCGATCCGACTCCGTTGACCGTTCATTTCGACGACCCAGAATCCACTAGCCATGTCTAGCGAACAGTACCATAGAGCTTTATCCAGATCTTCCAGCAGATCGCTGATCAACGGCATGGGATAAACCATCAGTCGCGTCAGCTGGTTCACTCTTCGATAATCAATGCAAAGGCGAATGTCCACTCCGTTCTTCTTGATGATCACCACTATCGGAGACGCCCAAGTTGACGTGGATGGCTGAACGATCTTGTCTGCCAACAGTCCTTTTGATGAGATCTGACAGCTTCTCCCGATATTTGGGTGCGACCGGACGGACTCTTTGCGCAATTGGTGCGGCTCCACCGACATCGATATCACAAATCGCCCCTCGTGCCGCTGGTGGTAGAGCATTTTCCTTCCCCATAAGAAGGTGACGGCTCCTCCAAATCAGCGATCTGAGTCTTTGTTGATCTGCGGTGAGAGGAACGTCCGGATCGCCGATCTGAA